CCTCCTCCTCCTCCTCCTCCTCCTCCTACGAAGCCGCGCGAGCAGCGCGTCGGTGGCTTCGATGCGTCGAGTGTGCTGGCCACAAGCCGTAGACAGATACAGGCAGCTGCCAGGCGCCGTCGGCGGACGGCCGCGCTGGCGCGGCGTCGCGGCCTGGCCGCCGCCGAGGAGGGCCCCCAGTAACCACGAAGGCAACTCCATAAATCCCAGCGAGGGGGCCCGAATCCAGGGTGCCGTCCGCGGGCCCAGAGTCTGCGCGGCCTCCGAAGTGGCCGCCGCTGCCGCTGCCCCGCGGCGACGCGGGGCGCCCTGGGGGCATTGAGCCCGGACGCGGTGCTCGCTCCCACAGATGGCACGCGCCATGACGGTCCCGTCATACCCTCGCGAATTGCGGAGTCTGCCTTCCCTTTGCCTGGCGAGCGTCTGCCTTTGCCCTGACCTTTTTTCCACCGAAGAAGACCTGGTCTTGTCCGAGAGCTCGATATGAAATGCGCATTTCTGGGAACCCTCGCCTCTGCCTTTGAATTTTCAGGCGAAGGTGCTGTCGCTCTTCTTAACAACCTGCGTACCGCACGAGTGGAACGACGCATGCGTCTGCGCCACTGTCGCTCAGTAGTCTCCACATGCCAGAACAACTGAACATCTATCCGGGCAGGGCTGAAACCATGGAGCTCTGGCGCACTGTAGACGACCTCGCCGCCTGGGCCCGAGCCCACGTCTGAGGAGGCCCCGCTGTCAAATCGGCCCCATTCGCGGGCGCCCAAGCGGCGGCATAGGCTGCCTGCGATGGCGCGGCGCTCCGGGACGGGCCAGTGGCGCGCGCCGCGGTACCTCCTGCGCCAGGAAGCTCGGCGGCGCCGGCAGCCCGAGGGTCGAGACCTTGAGTGCGCCAGGGGCCATGCGCGCCATTGCTGTTACCACTGGCGGTGCCCACGAAACCTGTGAACGATGGCGGCGCACGGAGAACGCCAGCGATGTTGTTTGGTACATGCTCCACGATATGACAACGCGCCTGAGCACATGCCGTGAGACTGTTGAACTCGGCCTTTGTGGCTGGGCAACGCTTGCCGCAGGGCCGGACAAGCGCCATGAGTTGGCTAGCTGCGACGCCGACCGCTCGGAGGAGCAGACAGCTGTGGCCGCCCCAAGACATCACAGCTCCATCGTTGCGCATAGCTCGGAATCGCAGCAGAAGTAACCGCGAGAGCAGCGCGTCGGTAGCCTCGATGCGTCACCTCGAGAATTCGAAAAGTTCTGCAGGCCGTTGACCACGCATCCCTCCGTCATCTCTGCGAAACTCATGGAGCGCGCGAGCTCGCGAGCGCCCCCACGAAAGTTGAGAATGACGGCAGCGCGTTGTTGGGCGCTGCCAATGTCGATGGCCAGCACCCTCCAAGCGAGCGAGTCCTGTACGCATTGGCGGAAGGGATACATGGACTCGCGCTCGGGTGACCATGGGGGCGGCTGACGGGCTGTGATGGTTCTGCGGCCGCCGCCGCCGTGTAGGCCGGCTCACCTAGGCATCATGCCGGTGAGCCAGAACAGGGCGACCACGAAGAACACGACGATGCTGCCCCAGAACGTCAAGAACGTCAAGATGGAGATCCCTCTTGCAAAAACCTCACCACGATGATGGCTGCACAGGCGCCTTGGGACTCGGGCCTGCGCAAAAACGAACGCCATGGCGAACTGCGGGGCAGCCATGATGATATCGTTGCCAAACTTGGTCGACGCCGAGGTCGGTGACAAGTGTACGTTAGCAATCACTGGTCAAACCGGGTGGCGCGATGCGCTCACACAGCCAGCACAATCGCACACGTTCCGAGGCACGGCGCTAGCCCAGGGAGGAGCCTCGCAGTCATGCTCACCACGAAATTGCGACCAGTCCCTTTGCAGGTGCGATGGGTCGAAGAACCTCGTGGCGCTCCTGTGGGCGAGTCGTTCTTCATCGCGGTAACAGCTTCTGCTGTTGCCCTTGCAGTCGCAGCGGATGTCCGAGGTGAGTGGCCGGCTGGCTTGCAGAACAGCCATAAGAACTGGCTGTTCAAGGAATGGAGGATGGTAACGATGTGGATGTGAACTTACGTGCGAATGTGCGTGCACACCGCACAGTTCCACTCTTCGGACGTTCCGTGGATCGCCGGGTGGGATCGCTCCCAGGTCCGCTACCAACTAAAAGTGCGGAGGTTGGAAACTGCAAAAGAGAGAAAGCATGGCAGCAGTGAAATGTTGAATGCATTCTTTACTTCTCCGTACAATATACACATATACGCCGACGATCGGGCCAAACAGCCGCGACCACAAGTATTTGAGTGAGAAGGGGAGGGAGGCGAGGGAGAGGAGAGGAGAGGAGGGGAGGGAAGGGCGGGGTGGCTAGTGGGAGGGGACCCCGAAGGCGGTCGACGCAACGCTCACTGTGACCAACCGATCCTTCTCCGCCTATCATCCGTCCTTCTCTGTCCCTGTGCTTGCTGCATGGAAAGGGGCGGAACGGAGCCAG